GTATCTGACCCCGCTAGTAGAGGCCTCGTGGGTGGAGTCACGCGGGATTTTTCTGTGTCTGTGTATCTGACCCCGCTAGGGGCCTCTGTGGGTGGGGTCACGTGGGATTTGATTTGTCTTTTGGTGACTGGCTCATTTCAGTCAGCAGCGTCTTTGTTATGCACCAAACGTGTCCCCCAAATTCCTACATGGAAGCCATGACCCCCACTGTGACCAGATTTGGAGACAGGGCCTGTGAGGCATAATTAAGCTGAAATGAGTTCCTAAGCCAGGCATGGAGGATCATACCTGTAATCCTAACACTGTTTGAGCCTAAAAGCTCAAGACTAGTCTGGGCAACATAGTAAGACCCCGTTTCTACAAAATATACAAAGATTAGCCAAGCATGGTGGTGTGTGCCTGGGGTCCTAGCTACTCTGGAGGCTGAGGTGAGAGGACTGCTTAAAGCCGGGGAGTCCCAGGCTGCAGCGAGCTGGGATTGGGCCACTGCACTCCAGCCTGGATGACAGAGCAAGACCCTGTCTCAAAAAACTTAACCAACTATGAACAACAACAGCAACAATGAAATGAGGTGTTAGGGGTGGGGTCCTATGCGGCCGCCATTCACAGGGAGTGACCCCAGGGATGCCCACGCACAGAGGGGTGACCCAGAGGACACAGGAGGAGGCAGCATCTGCACACCCCGGGGGGCCTCAGGAGGAGCCAGCCCTGGACACCTCAAGCTCAGACTCAGTGCCCAGAACTGAGAGAATAAAGTGCTGCTGCTTTTGGTTTTTGGATTTCATTTTGAGACAGGGCCTCACTCTGTCACACAGGCTAGAGTGCAGTGGAGCAATCTTGGCTCAATGCAACCTCTGCCCTCTACCTCCTGGGCTCAAGCAATTCTCCTGCCTCAGCCTCCCAAAGTGCTAGAACCACAGATGTGAGCTACTGTGCCCAACCAAAACTACCTCATTCATTTATTTTGAGATTGAGACAGGGTCTTGCTCTGTCACCCAGGCTGGAGTACAACGGCACGATCTCAGCTCACTGCAACCTCTGCCTCCCAGATTCAAGCGATTCTTTTGCCTCAGCCTCCCAAGCAGCTGGGACTACAGGCACGCACCACCATGCCCAGCTAATTTTTGTATTTTTAGTAGAGACAGGGTTTCACCACATTGGCCAGGATGGTCTCAATTTCCTGACCTTGTGATCCGCCTGCCTCAGTCCCCCAAAGTGCTGGGATTCCAGGCATGAGCCACTGCGCCTGGCCAGTTCTGCTGTTTGAACATGCCCATCTTCATCCTTCCCTCATAGCCCAAGGAAAGTAACACAGATGGGCTCCGAGGGGCCCCTCTTATTTCCCTGAGCAGAAAATGGCAGGAGGTTTTTGACTTTGTTGTTTCCAAGGTGTTTCAAACAGACAGACGCGGGACACAAGGAGAGAGAGAATTCCGTGACCAGTGGATATTAACTAGATGGCTCCGTGAGCCGAGCATGAGCGGGAGGGACCAAGGACGCACGAGTTCAGCCCTAGCACAATGCCACACCGTCAGCCACGAGGGCCGTGGGAAGCCTGGGGGGCTGTACCTGCTTGCTGTCCTGCTCACTGGCCTTCAGGCCACCCTCGGCTGGCAAGTCTCTCCGCTTGGCCTGCAACAGAAAAAAAAAGTCATATGAAGAAAAAGCAGGGAGAGGCTGGGCACAGTGGCGGACGCCTATAACCGGCAGTTTGGGAGGCCGAGGCAGGCAGCTCACAAGGTCAGGAGATGGAGACCATCCTGGCCAACACCATGAAACCCCATCTCTACTAAAAATACAAAAAGTTAGCTAGGTGTGGTGGGGCGTGCCTATAGTTCCAGCTACTTGGGACGCTGAGGCTGGAGAATCGTCTGAATCCGGGAGGTGGAGGCTGCACTGAGCTGATCACTGCACTCCAGTCTGGGCAACAGAACGAGACTCGCACAGACAGATACAAGCTCTGCTCAGAATTTACAAATATGCTAATTTTCTTTTTTTTTGAGACACGATCTCTCTCTCTCTCTCAGGCTGGAGCGCAGTGGCACAACCTCCCTGGCACAAGCTATTCTCCTGCCTCAGCCTCCCAAGTAGGAACACAGGTACTTGCCAGTGCACCTGGCTAATTTTTCAAAGCTTTTTGTAGAGACAGAGTCTCGTTATGTTGCCCAAGCGGGTCTTGAACTCCCGACCTCAAGCGATCGTCCCACCTCAGCCTCCCAAAGTGCTGGGTTTATGGTCATGAACCACCAAAACCGGCGAAGATGCCAGATGTCGAAGGTCCCATGAAACAGAAGAGATGCCTGAATCCGCAGGCTCCCCGTCGGTTCTTCAGAGTTCCATTTTTTTTTTTTTTTTTTTTAGAGGGAGTCTCGCTCTGATACCCAGGATGGAGTGCAGTGGCGCAATCTCAGCCCAATGCAACATCCGCCTACCAAGTTCAAGCGATTCTCCTGCCTCAGCTGCCCAAGTAGCTCGGGTTACAGGTGCGCGCCACCACACCCAGCTAATTTTTGTATTTTTAGTAGAGACGGGTTTTCAACATGTTGGCCAGGCTGATCTCGAACTCCCAACCTCAAGCGATCCGCCCACCTCAGCCTCCCAAAGTGCTGGGATGACAGGCGTAAGGAACTCCGCCCAGCCTGAGTTCCATTTCTTACACTTGAATGTGGCTCTCTGACCCTGGGCTGGTCCACGTGAAGGCAAGGCACAAGCTCTGCACTCCCTGAACCAGCCACAGCGTCAAACCCCAAACGAAGCCATTCACCTAAGGCAGAGGCTCAGCTGAAACAGTGAGAAATATATGAAGGGGTCAGAGTGTGCCACCCCCAAAACATGCCACTCTTCGACAAAAAGATTATTTTGAGTTGAAGGCAGCAGATGCTGGAACATCCCTCTGCCTTTCCTTCCTGCCCTGAAGCTGGGTGTGAATTCCTTCTCCCATCTCCAACCAGCAGGAGAGGCTGCAGACTGAGCCTGCGTAAACCAACCGCACTGAAGTTGCTCTCATCTTCCATCACTTTCCCCCACTTTACCTTTCCATCACTACCTTCCTAGGAGCCCAACCCCCTTTTCCCTTTTTCTCTTTTGAGATGGAGTCTCACTCTGTCACTCAGGCTGGAATGCAGTGTTGAGATCTCGGCTCACTGCAACCTCCGCCTCCTCGGTTCTAGTGATCCTACTGCCTCAGCCTCCCGAGTAGCTGGGATTACAGGCACATGCCACCATGCCCGGCTCATTTTTGTATTTTTAGTAGAGATGGGTTTCACCATGTTGGCCAGGCTGGTCTCAAACTCCTGACCTCAGGTGATCCACCCACCTCAGCCTCCCAAAATACTAGGATTATGGGCGTGAGCCACTGTACCCAGCCTAGTGGCAAGGATTTTTCTAGACTCTTCTAGAAGAGCCGCAAACTCCACAGACTGCCTTTGACCACACCGCTGAGAAGTCATAACCATCCACATCCCTAACAGTTACATTAAACCAAAGAACACCGGGCATCACTCCGGGAACACCGTTCACTTACGTTACCCGGCTGGCTGCTGCCGGTGGAGGGACTCCCAGGGTGGAGATCGCGGCAGCCCCAGTCATTCACCATCCCCAGGCTCTCTGCAAGGATAGGGGAGCAGCAGGCTCTGAGGGCGGCTGGTGGGCGACAGTGACACGCGGAAGTCTCCGCACCACATGTGAGGGCCAGGCGCACACGGCCTTGTCACTATCATCCCTCCAGGGTGTGGCAAGAGGATGGCTGGGCAGACAGGGGACGCTGGGGCAACGGGACCCTCGGGCCTCAGCCTTAAGGTTTTCACGTGTTTAACACTAAAAGCAACGTTTACAATGTGAACAAGAACAGCGGCCCTCCCCACTAAAATGAAAAGCAGAAGGGAAATCTGAGCTTGTGACCACACTCACAAAACCTAGAACCCAGATCCTAGGGCCGAGTGGGGGAAGGCCGAGTGGGTTCCCACTGGGGCTTGCTTCTGCTGCTGGGAACTGATTATGGACCATGTAACTCCCAAAGCTAAGCCACATCCTCCAGACAGCTAACAGACAGGAAAGCACGCTGGCCCTGAGGCCGCCTAAGCAGCCACTGCTCGAGGGTCTCTGCTGTCTCCTCTGCCTGGGGTGCACAGACCCCCTCACTCCACAAGGGCAGTGCTCCTAGGTGGGTGCCCAGCAGGACAGCAGGCTCAGGACAAGGCCCAGGCAGCCGTGGCAGAAGGACCCAGCTTGGACGCCCGGGAGGCAGGTGGAGGCGCCAGCCAGCTCACACCAGGACTCAGCCTTGAGGCTCAGGGCCCCAGTGCGCCTGGAGACAGCATCCTACCAGGCTCCACCATGACTGGCCCACACCTGCATGGAGGAGGCCCAGCCTCAGGCGGCACAAACACCCTCCCACCCCAGGGGGCCTCCACGGGCAAGTCGGGGGCTCCCAGGCCCCCGCCATGGTGCTGAGCTCCCACCCGCCTTCCAGGTCCACGTGGCCAGCTCCGGGTCACCAGTGACTCCAGTGAGAGTCTGCAGAGCTGCTGAGCCCGCCAAGGTGAACCTGCCACAGGGACGGCCACTCACTCTCCACGTGTGCAAAGGCGCAGAAGGGGCCGCGCGGGCAGTACCCGGTTTGGCGAATGTCGTTGCATTTCGTAGATTTGTAGATCTGGAGGGAAAATGAAATGGAGAGGCTGGATTGGAAATGGGATACCGTGGGACAATCACAGCTGGCGTTACCCCACAGTGGAGAATTAAGCTCCAAATCGTGACAAGAGGCCCATGAAGAGAGGGGTGTGGGCCCCGCCCTCCTCCACTGTGCACCTTGGTCGCCACATCCCTCCTCTCTGCAGAGCCGACCCACAGGGGACACGCACAGGTGTGGGGCCATTCCCCCAGCACCTACCCTCACATTGCAGGCAAAGCCATTCCCTGCTCGGTATTTTCTGAAAGACGCACCGAATACAGTCTGGTATGCAGCAGGCGGCTAATAAGCGAGTATTAAAGGAACACGTGTGTGTTCCATAGCCAGACCCTCTGCCACTTCACCCAGGGTGACAGACACTCTCATGAGGTCAACACCGCGTAAGACCCAGGAAGGGACAGACCACCCTAGAAGCACCCAGTATGCCCTAGGAGGGCCTGGCCCAGCCCCTCCTGCTTCACAGTTCTCAGGCAAGGACACGCGACTGGCACAGCTGGCGCCCAGTGCCCACAACGGCCAGGAAGCCTTTCCTGACCTCCAGCCTGGCTCCACCCGCTATGGCCCTCCCACCACTCGGACACCCAGTGGGGGCTCGTTTGTTTGTTCATTTTGTTTTTTGAGACGGAGTCTCATTCTTGTTACCCAGGCTGGAGTGCAGTGGCACAATCTCGGTTCTCTGCCACCACTGCCTCCTGACTTCAAGTGATTCTCCTGCCTCAGGCTCTCAAGTAGCTGGGATCACAGGCACATGCCACCAACCAGGCTAATTTTCCTGTTTTTAGCAGAGATGGGGTTTCACCTGTTGTCCAGGCTGATCTCAAGCTCCTGACCTCACACAATCTGCCCACCTCAGCCTCCCAAAGTGCTGGGATGCCAGGCGTGAGCCCCTCGCCCAGCTTGTTTTGTTTTTAATACAAATCTGAGTATGCTCCCTGGGCAGCTACACGGCCAATCGTGAACACAGCAGCCCTGTGCCATCCATACCCTGCACCCTCCAGAGGAAGCACAGGCCTGGTCCCAGCCCAGGCTACCCTCTTCAGCCCCAGGAAGACCCCGCCTGGGAAGAGTTGTTTACCTGGGGCGGGAGCCAGGCGGGAGGGTTTATCTCACTCAGGATTTATGGTATAGCTATGGGCCACATGGTGCCAGCTCTGCTCAGGGGGTGCTTGAGACCAGGGTCCACTGCAAGGATGGGCAGCCAGGCCTGTTACCGAACCCAGAAAAGGCCCCGGATACTGGGCTCCCAGCAGGCCCCTGGTGGCACTGCGGTGTGTGTGGTCACCAACACCCAGAATGCATGAGGCTGTGACCCTATCCTGGGAGGGACGGTGGGAAGCAGCGCCTGGGCCTCCCAGCACATGTGCCTTCCCCTCAGCTGAGGTTTTACTTTTTTCAGACAGAATCTTGCTGTGTCACCCAGGTTGGAGTGCAGTGGCGCAATCTCAGCTCACTGCAACCTCTGCCTCCCGGGTTCAAGTGATCCTGATGCCTCAGCCTCCTGAGCAGCTGGGACTACAGGTGAGGGCTACCACACCCAGCTAACTTTTGTATTTTTAGTAGAGACGGGGTTTTACCACGTCAGCCAGCTGGACTCAAACTCCTGACCTCAGATGATCCGCCCACGCTGGTGTCCCAAAGTGCTGGCATGACTGGCGTGAGCCCCAACACCCAGCCTGAATACGTGTTTCCACTGCCATTTTCTCCCTGCTTTTTTCCCATGTGACTGTTTTTTCTGTTGCAGGCCAAGCAGAGAGACGTGCCCGCCGCAGGGAGCCCAAAGGCCAGCAAGCTGGTACAGCCCCACAGGTTTCCCACAGCCCTCCTGCCAGCCCTCGGCCAATGATAGCCCTGTTCTTTCTGTGTGATGAACCACGCTGCAAACCCAATGACTTCCCCCAGGCCTTCCAGCAACCCACGCCTGGGGTGGTGGGAGGGACGTACCTCGGGGTGGAACTGCTGCTCTGTGCGGGAGTGGCAATACTGGCAGCTGTCACCGCCGTCGCAGCGCGAGGGCTCCCCCCACTCATCCCCGTGCTTCACGCTGGGGCAGGGCGTGGACCTGGGGACGAGCATGTGTCAGGGGACACGGGAGGACACGGCCACGGGGGGCCCAGGTGTATCTGCCTCCCACCAGGAGGGGCCTTGGGCACAGTGCCCTGGAGTGACTGGTGACCCAGCTCTACACTTAGGGACATGCGGGCCTGGCCGGTGCCGGGAAGGGGTCGGGACCCCAGGGATGTTCTTCACAGAATTTAACTTGAGCCTGGGTTGGAGCCACCCTCACGGATGAGGAGCGAGGGGGAGAAACAGCCGAACCTCCCGCGGGCAGTGAGGCTGGGCGCCCAGACAGTGCGGAGCTGTCTCCTGGCCAACCTTCTATAAAAAGGAAGTGAGATTTTTGATCCCACCATTTGAAAATCCTCACCAATTTCAAATGCCCAGTGCTCCCACTGCAATAAGCAGAGACTGCACCGCTGCACTCCAGCCTGGGCGACAGACGGAGACTGTCTCATAAAAAACGAAACCCTCTCCTCTTGTGCAATTTCTAGCAGCTTTATCATAACTTACGTGGAGTTATGGAAAACACGACGCCTGTCGGAGAAAAGGATTTTCCTTTTCTTTCCGTGATGGGCGATGACAAAAACCTGGAGGCTGGTTTGTGCTTTGTGCTACAGACATTCAGGTCCCTCAACTCTGAAGCCACTTGGACGGAGAATGAATTTAACGTGGTAAAATAAGGAGGGGAGGTGTCCTTCCCACGGGAGGCACAGGGCTCTCCAGGGCAAGCGAGGCAGCATCAGGTCGTTAAAAAGAGGGTGGTGGACCGGGCGCGGTGGCTCATGCCTGTAATCCCAGCACTTTGGGAGGCCGAGGCCGGCGGATCACGAGGTCAGGAGTTCAAGACCAGACTGGACAACATGGTGAAACCCCGTCTCTACTAAAAAATACAAAAATTAGCTGGGCATGGTGGCTCGTGCATGTAATCCCAGCTACTTTGGAGGCTGAGGTAGGAGAATTGCTTGAACCAGGATCCAGGAGGCAGACGTGGCAGTGAGCTGAGATCACACCACTGCACTCCAGCCTGGGCTACAGAGCGAGACTCCATCTCAAAAAAAAAAAAGAGGGCAGGCAGACTATCTGCTCAAAGGAAGAGCTGGACACAGACAGGGCCGCAGGGAGGCCAAGACCACGGCCCAGGCCTCCAGACACCCTGTGGGGTCTGCACCCTCCGTGGCCCCCAGGTGCGTACTGCAGACGGGAGGCAGGCGGGGCCACGTACAACCAGAAGGCGGGGCTGGAGTGAAGAGGAGGAGGAGCTTCAGAGGCAAGCCGGCTGCACAGGACCCAAACCCACAGGCCAGGCCCAGGGGAAGGTCAGGCTCAGGCGGTGGAGGAAGGTCCTGCGTGTACCCTGGGCAGGGCGACCCTTGGGGTGCAGGCCCCAGGACTCAGCCTAAAAACCGGGTGCCCTGGCCGACAGCTGTTAAGACAAGATCAACCCCAGGCGATGAGAATGCAGAGCGCCTGGCAGCTGGGGTGCGGAGACAGCACGCAGCCCACAGCCTGGAGAGCGCGGCTGCAACAGAGGCGTGAGTGGGGCACGTGGGGGTCCCAGCTGGCTCGGGGTCCCTCCTGCTGTGCTCCGGCCCCTTGCCTGGCAGAGGGGCCCTGGCAGGGGACTGCATGGGAGCCACTGAGCTTGGGTGGGGAGGCCAGTCCCAGGACAGGCTAGGGCCTCCCACAGCCAGTATGCTGGGAGACACCTCCCCTCCTGGGAGTGACGGTGCCACAAGGCAGCCCTCCCATGAGAACCCGGGGGAGGGCAATGCGGGCCACGGGGCGGGAAGGACACCCCCCTGCCAGGATCCTGCAGGCTCACCTGTACTGGAAGGTCCGGGGGTTGCGCCGCCTGTCCCTGCTGTTGTGGTAGTGCGGGCACGCATAGCCCTGGCGGCACAGGCGTGGTGGCTTCGGGCACTGCTCCGTCTTGTAGCTGCCCAGCACAAAGTTGGCATCTGAAAAACGGGCCACACAGTGCCTGTGCAGTATCACTTCGGGCAACACTGGCACAAAAGCCCGAAGGTGGAAGGCCCAGCTGTCGCCAACGGACAGAGCCATAGGAGGACTCAGGGAACACAGACACACACTGGGGCACACGCGGACTTCAAAGGACTCACGCTCCACGAGGGAAGCTGGGCCCAAAGGCCACACTGTGTGGTTCTGCCTACGTGACAACAACCACCCACAACTGGAGAACCCACAGAGAGGGAGTGGAACAGAGACCACCAGGGGTCGGGGGGAGTCCTGCTGTGGGTGGCCGCTTCCTTCTTGGGAGGTAAGAATGTTTTCCACCTAGATAGAGATGACGGTTGCACAGCTTTGTGAATATGCTAAAACCACAGAAAATGCCACACGTGAAGCCTCATGCACGCCAGAGCCTCCGGGTGACAAGCACCTCACCGCAGGTTCCCTGTTTGTAACAAGCGTACCTCACGGTGCAGGAGGTTCACCGCAGGGGAGACTGAAGCGCAGGGGCATTTGGGAAATCTCTATTTTTCCACTCAGTTTTGCTGTGAACCAAAAATTGCTCTAAAAAATAAAGCCTTTTTTTTTTTTGAGACGGATTTTGGCTTTGTCGCCCAGGCTGGAGTGCAATGGCACGATCTTGGCTCACTGCAACCTCCGCCTCCCAGGTTCAAGCAATTCTCCTGCCTCAGCCTCCCAGGCAGCTGGGATTATAGGCGTGCGCCACCATGCCCAGCTAGCTTCTTCTATCTTTACTAGAGATGGGATTTCAGCATGTTGACCAGGCTGGTCTCCAACTCCTGGCCTCAAGTGATCCACTTGCCTCAGCCTCCCAAAGTGCTGGGATGACAGGTGTCAGCCACAACATCCAGCCCAATAAAATCTCTCTTTAAAAGTCACTCACTGTATGTCACATAAATTTTACCTCAAGTTGAAAAACAAGCCATGGGGTCGTTTAAAAACAGTAATTGATGGGCAAAGATTCCTAACAATCATATCCTTTCTTGGGCTAATAGTTCACACCTTATTGATACATGCTGTTCTTTACTGCACCTGCTCGGTGTGGCTGGGCAGCCAGCAAGGGACACAGCCAAGAGCGTCAGCCCCTAAGTGCCGGTATGACGCCAGACATACTTCCAAGATCAAACCTGACATCCTGATACCAACGTGCACATCAGATTCAATTCAAATAGCTTTTCTTTTCCTTTTTTTTTTTTTTTTTTTTTTTTTTTGAGACACACTCTCACTCTGTCACCCAGGCTAGAGTGTAGTGGCACCATCTTAGCTCCCTGAAACTTCCGCCTTCTAGGTTCAAGCAATTCTCCTGTCTCAGCCTCCAGAATAGCTGGGATTACAGGCGTGTGCTACCATGCCCAGCTAATTTCGTTAGTAGAGATGGGGTTTCATCATGCTGCCCAAGCTGGTCTTGAACCCCTAAGCTCAGGTGATCCACCACCTTAGCGCCCCAAGTGCTGGCATTACAGGAGTGAGCCACCACGTCTGGTACCCAAATAGCTTTTTTTTTTTTTTTCAGACGGAGTTTTGCTCT